GGGCCTTTTTTGTACGGTCAGCCGTTGGGAGAAGGTTACGGCTCCGCGCCGCATCCCTGAAACAAAAGGGGGAACTACAGCAGCTGGGAGGGCTTGAAGCGATGGGGCGGGTGGCTGCTTTTGGGGCCGGGTGAAAGAAGTGCGGATCCCGGAGTGGTTCCCTCAGCTCTGCGGGGCCTGGGCAGCTCTGGGCTGTGGCTCTGTCTGGCTGGAGATCCCCGCGGCAACGTGGGTTAGAGGGCGGTGTGTGAGGAGAGCGGGAGCTGGAACTTGGGCGAGATGGGCTGGGTGAGGCAGCACCTCAGGGGAAAGGGCGCAGTGGCTCAGCGCTGCACGCGAGTCTGCTCCAAATTAATGCTTTTACCCGCTTTCTCAATGTTCTCTAGGAAACGCCGCTGAGGAACAGCCCCAGCCCTCCCAACAGCACCGGAGGCACGATTGACAGCGATAGCTGGGATCCCCGGTTCAATGATATCCCCTCTTCTGTTTCCCTGCCTGTCAAGAACAGAAAGAACTTTAGTCAGCTCAAGCGAGCGAAACCGTACAGTTCCCTGTTCCAGCGGGCAAAACCTGGCAACTTCTTGCCGGAGCGGAAGCAAATTGATAAGATCAGGAAGAAGAAAAAGCTGAAGAGGAGAGAGACAGAGGTGTCTGCAGGGGAGGACTATGAGGAGAAGCTGCTGGAGCTGGAGGCAGAGGACTCTTACGTAGAGACACCGATGAGCCCCTCATCTGAGGGTGACCCTCAGTCTGCGACCGAGCACTGCTCGGTTTGGGACTCTGACACACCATCCAGTGTCTCCTACCCTGCCGTGACAGCCGAGCAGACGGTGGAGATCCAGAGCGTGGGCAAACGAACGGTCATTCGGCAGGGGAAGCAGGTGGTCTTTCGGGATGAGGATGGCACTGGTGACGATGAGGACATCATGGTGGATTCAGGTAGGTGGCCTGGCTGTCAAGAGAGGATTAGCGAGGTGGAAGCAGTGGTGCTGTTGCTGATCTTTTGGGTATTTTACTTGTAGCATGAGGATAACACCAAGGTACGGTGTCTGGGCAGAATTAAGTAGCTGTTGGGTTTTCAAGGGGAAGAGAGGGGTTGCTTGGCTGCTTTTGCAATAAACTGAGTGAAAAGCTGTGACTTTATAAAGCAGCCATTTCTCCTCTCCTGGATTAATGCCTCTCTTGTACTGCTGAGAGTCTCTTCCCACACAAGAGAGACGTGGAAAAATCAGCAAAATGCCTGTCTTTGAAACCCAGGTAGTTAATGTAGCAGGAAAGGAGAGTAAATTCCCAGTGCAGGTGAGAGGCATTGGCCGTTAAAAACATAGCTTGCTGTTTCTCTTTGCAGATGATGACTCTTGGGACCTAGTGACTTGCTTCTGCATGAAACCTTTCGCCGGGCGGCCGATGATCGAGTGCAACGAGTGCCACACCTGGATCCACCTCTCCTGCGCCAAAATCCGCAAGTCGAACGTCCCAGAGGTCTACATATGCCAGAAGTGCCGGGACTCCAAGTTTGACATTCGTCGTTCGAACCGTTCCCGGACGGGCTCACGCAGGCGCTTTCTGGACTAGGGGAGGGAGGCACGTGCTGGTGCACTGCTTGGGGCGGGTGGGTGAACTGTGGGCGCCGGCCGAGAGGCCAGGGAGAGCTCCCCCGAACTGTTGCTGCTGGTCAGGCTGAAGGGCTGCCTGGCCAGCAGGGACACGGAATTGCCAAGTTGTGGACAGCCGGAGCTGGAAGAGGCCGACTGGTCAGAACTGCTGCTAGATACCGATTAGCTCAAGGGACAGACTAAGCTCTCTGGGTTCAGTGGGGTTTTGTTCGGTTACAACTATGAATTGGGTGGTGTCTGGGGAATGTATAATACCGTTGCCACGTTATGTTTTCTCATCCCATTGGGAAACTGCAAACCTTCTCTGTTCTAAGGAACTCCTCCTCCTCCTCCTCCAAAGAGGGAGGAGAAGGAGGAGGGAATCTGTGTGAAGAGTCTGAAAAGTAAATGGCCATGTGTTTTAATTTTAATGTAATACCATACCTGCCCATTTGTCCATATATATCCATCTTAGATATTGAAAGGCTTTGTAGGAGGGAGCGTCAATGCATACTGACCTCTGCGCGATCTGCCTCCTCTTCAGCCTGGGCAGCAGGGGAGTTCTGGATTTGGCATTGTTCAAGTGAAAACGGGATTTCTTTCTGTGCCGAGGGACCGGCCTGTTTAAAGGAAGAGAGCAGCCTTTTTTCTGGACAGGCAGTGCTGGGAATTAGCGACATTGGATTTCCTCCTAGAAGGTCTCTTCTTACGGTGATTTTTCGTGACTTTGTTTTGCATGATTGGCTCAAATGTGTGTATGGGGGGATACCGTTTGCTCCATTTCCCGGCCCTTTGTTAAAGGTGCTGTTTTAAGAAGACGATGACTCTCCCTTTTCTCAGCCCAGAATTCAAACGTGGACTGTAAAAGGGGCCATAGTAAACTTAGAACCTGGCAGGTCTGGTTTGGGATTTGATTATTTCCATCCAAGTACTACAGCTGAGCTGACTTTTGGTTTTGCTGTTTGTTTTTTGAGACTGGATTTGTAATCAAAAAACCAGAATCTTTAACCTATTGGTTGCAAATTATACAGATAAAAGCAAATGCAGGTTATGCAGCTAGCAAGATGAAGTGCAGTGAAGATCCATCTGGTGTGGGGGAGAGCACTGAGGCCCCTGCTGACACTGCAGTCCCTTGACAGGACTTCCTGGGGCTTCAGCCCGAGGGAAATGCGTTCAGAAATGTGACAGGGAGTCGAGGCTCCTATGCAAGGCCACCGAGATGGCAGCGTTGTTCCTCAATGACCAAACAGAGCGAGCCGTATGTATTGCACAAATTCAGTTTACGTTTTGAGGTATTTCTCTGAAGTTACGCCTGATGAACAATGCGTGCTCTGTCCGGTGAGACCGTGAGTCAAAGGGGAGTCACTGGCTGGTACCATGGCCGAAGCGAGACTAGCTGTACTGCTAGGAATGTGTCCACATTAGTCCTGCAGATACACTGCATTAGACCACCGCCTTATCCGAGTAGTGGCTCGTTAGGAGATGCATCCTGGTGATAACCAAGGGTCTTTCCAGTACACAGAGTTGGGTACCCTCCTTCAGATATCTGACATGGGGCTGCCAAAGCTTCAGGCAGACACTCCAGCACTGCGTTGCCCTGGGGCCTCTGCTGCGTGGGACGCCGGGGTGTGAAAGCTCTGCTGGCCCAGGTCAGGATGATGGAGCTGCATGACGTGTAACTGTCCTTCCGTCCTGCTTCTTTATAAAAGTCCTGTTCCACCAAGCTGCAACAACTGACTCTGGGTTCTGAAAACCAGCTCTGGCTTCTGTAAAATCTTAAGATCGTGACCGTGGTACGTTGCCTTCCAGAAGCTACGTGGAACCACTGAGGAGTTTGCCAAAGACTTGCCCCCAACGGCTGCCTGACTGTTCTTTGCAGCCAGAAAAATAACCAAAGTTCTCAAATGCTGCCATTTCACTCTGCAAATGGAAAGGCTTTGGAAGATTCCAGTTGCAAGCTGCACAAGGGTTGGACCTGCTCTGAAAATTGGTATCTGTGTTTACAGCGTGTCTGCAATTCAACTGGACCTCTGTAGAATGTGTTCCTGAAGCTTTTATGGGAGAAATGGTGAACTGCCAAGCGAACTGGCTCTTTTTTCACAGAGGTTCGATACTAATCAATGTGACTGACTCTTGTTCTGTTACCTTTTCAGATTTATCCTAATAGATGGTGTCTGACAAGTCCAGCACGTTACAGTATCAGCAGAGAGGGGAAAAAAAAAAAAGTAACATCTCCATTCTTTTAGTTCATCACTTTCAGCCATGTATAATTATAGTTTAATTCAGAACTTTATTTTTTCATTAAAACTGTTTTAATGAACCATGTTTTTTTTCTTAAATGTGAAACAAGTGAACAATGATTTTGTTTTATTTTGAATTCGGGAGTCTGCTGTTATGATTTACTGGTGTGTAAAGCAGTTGTGCCAGGTGACAGGAAGACTTGATGCTTCAAGTGCTCTTCCCTAAATAATACACAAAGTCAGGTATGGATAGGAAGTGCTGCAAACGTATCTTTCATGTGCTGACAGGTATCCCTGCCTCTCCTTGCCCAGCCTCTGCTGTAAGGTAAATTGTGGGGCAGCCCCATTGCTGGTACAGGAACAAGCACGGGGCAGGGTGGAGCGATGGGAGGCAGGTGATGCCTACTGCTGCAGGAGCGTGGAGTGGCTGAAAGCAGCTGGGACGCCACACTGGCCTTGCTGACAGGGACTTGCTGAAGAGTGTGAAGGCTGGTGCAAGCCCAGAGGGAGAGGGCTTGGGTCAGGATGCCCAGGGTGTCAGCAGCGTATGGTCCTGGCAGGGGTCCTCCGTGGAGGGCACCTGAAGGCAGGCTTAGTGTGTAGAAGCCAGGTGGGGGCAGGGAAAGTCACACCAGGTGAGACTTGCTGGCCAAGGTGACCCCATGCTTGTCCCACTTGCCTGAGAGCCAGGTCCCTGCAGGACTGGGCACTGCAGCCTCACAAACAGACCTTGGGCGATGCCACATCTGCCTCACAAAGACTGGCTGGCTCAGCCAGATCCAAACCAAAACTCCTTTAAAGCCTCTGGGAGCTGTGCTGAAGGAGAGCTCCTTCCCTCCCACCCCTGCCCCACTGCAGGGTGGCAGTGAGGACCCCAAACCACCAAAGGGATGCTGGTGCCTTGGTGCCACCCCTCAGCTCGTGTAGGTGCCCCAACCCCAAAGGCACTGCTGCTCCGCCAGCTGTGTTCAAAGCAACAGCCTTAACACCTTGGCAAACTTAAAAGATGGCTCGATTCTTTGGAAATGGCACTGGATCACATTAGAAGCTAAGTTCTGGTTGCTTATAGCTTCTATTTTAACTCTGTTTGTAATTTTGTATTATATAGAGTGATAAACAGAAGTCTCAGAGGACATGGGGCTGTAAAATGGTAGCTTCTCATAGAGCAGAAACAGTGGTGTTGAAAGCAGTGGTTTCTCAAGTGGGGCTGTTCTTACAGCCCCTTTAAAGCTTGGATCACATTAGAAGCTAAGTTCTGGTTGCTTATAGCTTCTATTTTAACTCTGTTTGTAATTTTGTATTATATAGAGTGATAAACAGAAGTCTCAGAGGACATGGGGCTGTAAAATGGTAGCTTCTCATAGAGCAGAAACAGTGGTGTTGAAAGCAGTGGTTTCTCAAGTGGGGCTGTTCTTACAGCCCCTTTAAAGCTTTGTACTGATAGAAAATAAAGAAGAGAGGAGGAGGTGGGCTGGAGTAAGTATTAAGCAGGCGAGGCCAACCCCAACACCTGGCTCCAAGGGAGGAGATGGACAGGACAGACGGCTCACTCCATGTGGGCACAATTCAGCAACGCTTGACAATTACAAACACGGCAGGGAAGCAAAGATGGAGCTCATGCTCTAACTGCTGCAGAGAAGAACCTGCTGCACCAGCCCAATGGGTGGGGAAGGGCACTCACAGCACTTGAAAGGAGGGGAAAAGCAAGAGTCTGGATTCTTGGTGGGCTGATCTGGCAGGAAACAGCAAGCTATATACTTTTTATGATGTTTAGCCAGGGAACGAGGCAAGACCTGTGTCAGTATTAATTGTGAGGGGTTTTACTTTAACAAGTCGCAAATTCAAATGTTCAAAGTGCAAAGTTAAGGTTCATCTGTACCTTGCACAAACTTCTTTGCGATTAGACAGAAAGATAATTCTGAGGTGCTGGGGGAAGACGGCATAGAGGGGGAAGGCAGGAGAACCGAGTTAGTTCTCTGATGAGAGCACTGCTCTGATTAAGAGGAAGGCACCTGCTTGACTCCGAGCCCTGGCTTGGAGGTATGAAGACACTGGTTGAGTTGCACGGGAGGAGGTTTAGATGATTTTTCCAGCAGAACTGGTGCCTGGAGCTCTGGCTCCTTGTAGCCTTTCAGTGGCTGAGCCACCCTGGGACATGGCAGTCAAAGACAAGAGCACATACAGGAAGACAAGGGAAGAGTCTAAAGAATAAATCCTAAACCTGTATCTCCACCTCAAGAATTTACAGTTTAAAGGCTCTGGCTGAAAAGACTGGTGTGTGCTCCCAGATCCTCATTAAGGTATTTTAAGCATTTGCTGGGTCAATTAGAGATGGCTGTGTCGCCTCACGTTTCTACAGCATTTTGAAGTTTGCACCCCCCGTTACAGGTTTTAACTGCTCGAGTAGGAACAATGCACTCTGCCCCTCAGAAATGTTAGGTTTTAAGTGTAGAAATACCATGGGACATCTTGAAGTACCGAAGCAGTTTTTAGAATCACATTGCTATTTCTCTACATTTTAATGTAGACTATGCAAGAAAACACCTTCATGACAGCAGAAGCTGTATCTCAAGAAGTTGTCAGAAACCAGAATTGTTTCATTGTGCAAACTTTTTTCATGAAAACACTCCTCGGTGTCATTGATCTGTTAGATACAGGACTACGCTAAGATTCTTCTTTGTAACGCGCGGTAAATGTGTTGTCACTATTTCGCACTTGCTTATGCAAAACTTAATTCTCAGTACTCCTCCTGGGAGTATTTTGCCACGTCCTACTCACTACAGAGTGGCTCTCACTCTTGACCACACGCTTCATGCAGTGACAAGACATGAAAAAGGAATTTCTGGTGAAGATTTTTGCTCAGTTCAACTAGTTACACATACAAGCGATCAACAGAGGTCAATAAGCAGGACGTGACAGAGGGTGCAGTTACATTTACAA